AATAAATTTAACAATAAATGTATAAGACTTAGGAAAATTCCAAAACAATTCTGAAAGACTGAAAAAAACTTGAACAAACTGAAAGATATTTTCTGTTTTGGATAGGAAGACTAAACATTACAGTGATGTCAGTTCTTCCTAAATTAAATTATAAACATAGTGTAATCCCACTAAAGATACCAGAAGTGGCCAGACGTGGTGGCCAGCGCCTATAATCTCAGTACTTTGGGAAGACGAGGCGGGCAGATCACAAGATCCAGACCATCCTGGCTAACACAGTGAAACCCCATCTCTACTAAAAATACAAAAAAATTAGCTGGGCATGGTGGTGAACACCTGTAATCCCAGCTACTCGGGAGGCTGAGGCAGGAGAATCGCTTGAACCTAGGAGGTGGAGATTGAAGTGAGCTGAGATCAGGCCACTGTACTCTAGCCTGGCAACAGAGTGAGACTCTGCCTCAAAAAGAAAACCCAGAAATATCTGTTATTTTATGAAGTTAAACAAGTTGGTAATAGCATATAGCATTCATGTAGAAAACGCATACAAGATTAGGAAGTTTCTGGAGGGAGAAAGAAAGTCTTGAGGGATGCTGGGTGATGGTGGCTCACACCTGTAATCCCAGTACTTTGGGAGGCTGAGATGGGCAGATCACCTGAGGTCAGGAGTTTGAGACCAGCCTGGTCAACATGGCAAAGCCCTGTCCCTACTAAAAATACAAAAATTAGCTGAGCATGGTGGCAGGCACCTATAACCCCAGCTACTTGGGAGACTGAAGCAAGATAATGGCTTGAACCTGCAAGGCGAAGGTTGCAGTGAGCCAAGATCACACCACTGCATTCCAGCCTGGGGGACAGTGAGTCTCATTCTCAAAAAAAAAAAAAAAAAAATTATGAGGAAGTAGTAATTTTATCAGATATTAAGATATGCTACAAAGCCTTTATAATTAAAATGGTGGGTAGTAGCTCATGAATAGACAAATAGACCAGTGGAACAGAATAAAAAGTTCAGAGTTAGAGACAAATACATACAGAATTGTCATAATATATAAATGTCATAATATATTATGACACTATACACAAGAATAATAGATAGAGATCAAAGTGTAGGGAATGAAACCTACAAACCCTGGTGTGTGGTGAAAGGATTTCTGTTACTCCAATCCAGAGGAAATGAAAAGATTGATAAAACTGACTATCTAAAAATTAAAATGTTTTTACAACATAAAGTCAAAAGACAGCTGCCAAACTTGGAGAAAATATAACATATACTACAAAGGGCTGATATCCCTAATACATAAGAACTCTTAAAAGTTGAGAAACAATGACCAAAAACCTAATGGGAAAATGAGAAAAAGACATGAACCAGTAATTCACACACGAAAAAGATGAAAATGACTCAGAAACATGAAAAAATGCTCAAACATACTCAAAATTAGAGAAATGAAAATTAAACCTACACACCGATACCTTTTCTTTCCTATCAGACTGGGAGAAATTTTAATATGTGATGCATTATTTTGACAAGGCTGTGGGAGACAGGTGGGGTTTTTTTTAACATTGCTGATGAGAATGCAGTTTGTTAGAAATTTTCTGTAGGGTAAATTTTGTAATACTTAACACAGTGTTACATATATGCATGCTTTTTGCCCCGGCAATTCCACTTCTAGCAACTTATACCACAGATACCCCTCCAACAATATGAAAATACATGTGTTCAAGGTTATTCCTTGAAACATTGTAATTGCAAAGTATTTGAAACACCTTAAATATACAGACATAGGAGAGAAGGGTGTTGAATATGCTATGGGAAATCCACACTGTAATATTTTGCAGCTATAATGAAGGACGAGGAAGGATTAACTCAGAGAGAGTAATTACCAGTATGTTCTATTAAGTGAAAAAAGTAAAGTCCCATATATAAAATATGCCACCTTTTACGTAAGAAAAGTGTGCCAGGGGTAGATTATTGGCTCTCATCTTCAAATTTACTTTTTTTTCTGCTCTGTAAAAATGGACCTTGGCTTTTTAAATACTTTCTTCTTGCCAGCTAGCACATCGTTAAGCTTTGTTAGTGAAGGGCATTGGAGAGACCTTTCAGGACTCTCAAGGGTTTTGCTTCTGATCTGATGTGCTGGTTCAGCAGGATCCTGCAGTGCACACCGCTTCCCCAGTGCCCACTCCTGCAATACACTGCAGTCTGAAGCACCCAGCGCCCAGCAGCTTTCCCTGCCATCCCCATTTCCTTCCACAGCTCCCCTGAACAGGTTTTCCAGGTGCTATGGAGGATGGATTTCTAGCAGGATCCACTGATGTAGCACTACGGCAACTTCTTTCTCCAGCTCATCTGGATCTCAGTCCTGGGAAGAGAAAAGGACTTCCTTGCACTTTCTCAGCCCTGGGGATAGAGTGCTCCTATTTGTTATTTGTTCCCTTTACTGCTTCCCTGCCAATTCCTCATTATTCCAATCCTGTGTTAAAGTTATTGAATCCTTAACCTTTCTTTGTTCAAACTGATACTCATTTTTTCCTCCCAGTTGAACTCAGACTGATACAGAAGGAGATAGAAGAATGTACACAAATATCTGTTTATTTGAACAAAAGAAATGGAAAGGATAAACCGAAACTATAGAGACAGATTGCCTGCAGGGATGGGACAGAAAGGGGTGGAAAGAAGGGAGGGAATGGGAACAGGTTGTAGGGACAGAGAGGGAGTGACACTTGTGACTCTTAGGATCATAGTGATGTTCCACATATATTTCACATACCCCAAATGTAATCAGATAATTAAAACCAACCAGGATGTAGGTGGGGGGAACCCAAAACTGAACTCAAAAACTAAAAAATAAGCCTAGTTATATTACAGATGTATAATATAACACCACTGAAGAGGGTGGGAGGGTGGGGAAGAAAGAACTAAAGTCTATGTTAAAGCATATCTTTTTTTTGTTTTTTGAGGCACTTCATGAATTTGCATATCATCCATGGACAGGGGCCGTGCTAATCTTAACTGTATTGTTCCAATTTTTAAATAATAAAATGCTATCAAAAGCATATCGATATAATATAAGGGCGAAGACAGTTCTGTTTATAAGTTAGTGTTTCTCACAAGGGTATAGGTTAGCAATTCTGTAACTATTTTATGTATTTACTAGAATTGAACAAATAAGTCAATAGGTTGTGGACAGTGAAAGCTGGATTTCTCATTTGTGGAGAAAGAAGCTTTAAACAAGGAAATGTTGAAAGCTAAAATGAATCCTGTGGTTTTAGTTTGGGATCAGGGTATCAGTATAAACTCATAGTTTTAAATATCTAACAGTACAATACAGAAATACAGATATTTGTACATGTATAGGTTAGCATTCATACGTATATTTCCTGCCTATCTCAGCTGACAGGCCTAGAGGCAGTGACTCCAGTAATAGTGAGAACACCTAGAACCCAGATACTGGTCTCTAAACACCTTTTTCCAGTAAAAGAACTACAGTTCTTAGAAGTGGTTGATACCAGGGATGAGACAAGAAAAACACAGGATGGGCTTCAAGCATCTTGTGTTGCCAGAAAGTAAGGGAATGTTCAAAAAATAAAATAAAAAAATTAAAAAGGAGAGGACTTGTTGAGCTAACCTGAAGGAGCTCCTAATGATTAAAGCTGGAACAATTTGAACAACAAAATAATGATAGTATTAGATTTTTGACCCCAGAATAAGACAAATATCTGTAGGTTCTTACTAATATAAATGATTAAATAAACTGATGGGAGGAAAGTGGTAGGTCTTCCTCAAAGCAGAATTCCAATGAATAAATGTAGAAGAAGGGAAGGTGAGAACTGCCATTTGGCATACACCACGGAAATATTGCAGACAAAACCTATCAATGAATGCTAAAATTCCTGGGTGAAGTTCGAGGAGAAACAAGATTTGCATAGTGTCAAAGTATCTCCTCCAAAATATTTACCAAGTTCATAGAAAGCGAGGTGTCTTTCTGGTAGAGGAACCTGGCAGACAGAAAACAAGCTAAATATTACTAGTAATATGTCATATTAATATCATTAACCTCTTTTTTTTTTTTGAGACAGAGTTTCGCTCTTGTTACCTAGGCTGGAATGCAATGGCGCCATCTCTGCTCACCGCAACCTCCGCCTCCTGGGTTCAGGCAATTCTCCTGCCTCAGCCACCTGAGTAGCTGGGATTACAGGCACGCGCAATCATGCCCAGCTAATTTTTTGTATTTTTAGTAGAGACGGGGTTTCACCATGTTGACCGGCATGGTCTTGATCTCTTGACCTTGTGATCCACCTGCCTCGGCCTCCCAAAGTGCTGGGATTACAGGCCTGAGCCACTGCGCCCGGCCTCATTAACCTCTTTTTAAAGTGTTTTTATTTTTTATTTTGAAGTACAAAAATTACTCTTTATTCTTTTGTATTATTATTATTCTTTCTCTTCCTTTTACACTATAAACTAACATGAACCTCTTGATATGATATACTGAGGAGGACGTCATTGTAGTATTCTTACCAAAATTCTAAGTTTGTTCCTATCATGAGGAACTAGCAGTCAAACCCAATTTGAAGGACATTCTACAAAATAACTGATTAGAGCTCATTGAAATTGTCAGGATCATGAAAGATAAGGAGAGACTGAAGAATTTTAACAAACTCAAGGAGACTAAGGAAAAGCAACAGATGCCATGTGGAATCCTGGATGGGAATCTGGAACAGGAAAAAAAAATGAGTAAATCAAAAATTGTGTGAAATTTGAAAAAGGCCTATAGCTAATAATATTGTATAAGAAATTATTTCAGGCTCTTGATGATTGTCTCATGATCATATCAATGTTGACTTAAGGGAAGCCGAAAAAGAGATAGAAGGGAACTTTTTCCTGCTTTTGCTACTTAAAAGTAGTTCCAAATAAAAAGCTGAATGTTAAATATGTTTTTGAAGCCCTAATAACAAATGTTGAACTTTAATTTTTTTTTTTTTTTTTTTTTGAATGTCTACAACAGAGTTAGAAAAAGGTTCTTGGAACATCGGGAAGAAACCATTACAATAGATCGAGCCTGCAGACAAGAAACATTTGTTTATGAGATGGTAAGTAAGTCTCATCTGTTTCACCCTTTTCTCTTATAACAGTAAACTGACATTGTTAGTAATGGTAATATGGTAGTTTATACTGGATATGCTTAGTTGAAAACAAACTAGAGAAAATCCTTTGAGTCTGGGAACTAGTGAGTAAAGAGGACCTTTAGAACTCAAGTGACCACATATTTGACTTTTTCAGATCTATGCCTTTGTTCTTGCTTGGTTTTGTCTTGCTTTCAGTATTAGGCTAAATTTATGCCTTTTTACTACCTTATTTCTTGCCTTTTTGTTCTGCTCCTGATTTTGGTTTAACCACATTCTTAATCCTTATCTGTGCTCTCGTGTAAAACTCTGGGAAATTTTAAGATGATGACTGTTAAGGAATTAGGAACTAGTACACATGATGGATCCAGAATCAATGTGCTGGGCACTGTGCTGGCACTTGATCATGCATAAGGGCACCTATTGTCTCTCCATTTATTTTACTTTTATTGTGGTAAAATTTACGTAATATAAAATTTACCATTTTGATCATTTTAAAGTGTTCGATCAAGTGGCAGTAAGTACATTCACAATGCTATATAATCATCACCAGTATTTCCAGAACTTTTTCATCATCCCAAACAAATTCTATACCCATTAAGCAATAACTCACCAGTTTTCCCTCCTGCAGCTCCTGGTAACCTCTATTCTACTTTCTTTCTCTATGAATTTGCCTATTCTAGATATCTTGTTTAAGCAGAATGTTTATTTTGTGTGTATGGCTTTTTTTTTTTTTTAAGACAGAGTCTTACTGCATCACCCAGGCTGGAGTGCTATGGCGCAATCTCAGCTCATTGCAGCCTCCGCTTCCCAGGTTTAAGCGATTCTCCTGCCTCAGCCTTCCAAGCAGCTGGGATTATAGGTGCCCGCCACTATGGCTGGCTAATTTTTGTATTTTTAGTAGAGACAGAGTTTCATCATGTTGGCCAGCCTGGTCTTGAACACTTGACCTCAAGCAGTGTGCCCACTTCGGCTTCCCAAAGTACTGGGATTATAGCCATAAACCACAACACCCAGCCTATGGCATATTTTACATAGCATAATGTTTTATAGATTCATCCATATTGTAGCATGTATTAGAACTTTACTCATTCCTCTTTATGGCTGAATAATATCTATTGTATGGATATACCATATTTTGTTCTGTTCATCTGTTTATCTGTTGATGGATATTTGGGTTGTTTCCATCTTTTGGCTATGGTGAATAATGCTGCTATGAAAATTAGTATAAAAATACTTTTTTTTTTTTAGAGACTGTCTTGCTTTGTCACCAGGGTAGAGTGCAGTGACACAATCTCAGCTCACCACAACGTCCACCTCCTGGGTTCAAGCGTTTCTTCTGCCTCAGCCTCCCAAATAGCTGGGATTACAGGCATATGCCACCATGCCTGGCTAATTTTTGTATTTTTAGTAGAGAAGGGCCAGACTGGTCTCAAACTCATGACCTTGTGATCCACCTGCCTCTGTCTCCTAAAGTGCTGGGATTACAGGTGTGCCCAGCCTACAAATATTTTTTTAAGTCCTGAGAATTACTTTGCTTCTGCACCTAGGAGTGGAATTGGTGGGTTGTATGGTTAATAATGAGAAACCGTTTTCCATAGCGACTACACCATTTTACATCCCCATTAGTAATGCATGAAGGCTCCAATTTCTCCATGTACTTGTGAACACTTATTTTGTAGTTTTTTTTTTAATAGTAGCCATCCTAGCGGGCGTGAAGTGATATCTCGTGATTTTAATTTGCATTTCCCTAATAACTAGTGATGCTGAACATCTTCTTATTTGGTTTTTGACCATCTGTATATTTTCTTTGAAAAAGGTCTATTGAAGTATTTTGCCCATTTTCTGCTTTTTTTGCGAATCCCACTCTGTCCCCAGGCTGGAGTGCAGTGGCACGATCTCGGCTTACTGTAACCTACACCTTCCAGGCTCAAGCAATTCTCCTGCCTCAGCCTCCTGAGTAGCTGGGACTACAGGTGCATCCTACCACGCCTGGCTAATTTTTTATATTTTTAGTAGAGACGAGGTTTCACCATGTTAGCCAGGATGGTCTCCATCTTCTGAACTATGATCCTCCTGCCTCTGCCTTCCAAAGTCCTGGGATTACAGGCATGAGCCACCAGTCCTGGCCTTGCCCAATTTCAAGTTGGGTTGTTTATCCTGTTAAGTTGTAAGAGTTCTTGGCTGAGTGTGGTGGCTCATGCTTATAATCCCAGCACTTTGGGAGGCCAGCCTGGCCAAAAAAGAAAAGAGAGAACAACCAAATAGATGCAATAAAAAACGATAAAGGGGAAATCACCACAGATTCCACAGAAATTCAGACCATCATCAGAGAATATTACAAACAACTCTATGCACATAAACTAGTAAACCTGGAAGAAATGGATAAATTCCTGGACACCTGTGTCCTCCCAAGACTAAACTAGGAGGAAGCCGAAACTATGAATAGACCAATGGCAAGGTCAGAAGTCGAGGCAGCAATTAAGAGCCTACCACACAAAAAATGTCCAAGTCCAGATGGGTTCACAGCCAAATTCTACCAGACACACAAAGAGGAGCTGGTACCATTCCTTCTGAAGTTATTCCAAATAATTCAAAAAGAGGGAATCCTTCCCAGATCATTTTATGAGACCAACATCATCCTGATACCAAAACCCGGCAGAGACCCAACAAGAAAAGAAAACTTCAGGCCAATGTCCATGATGAACATAGATGCAAAAATCTTCAATAAAATACTGGCAAGCCGATTGCAACAGCACATCAAAAAGCTTATCCATCATGATCAAGTAGGATTCACCCCGGGGATGCAAGGCTGGTTCACCATATGCAAGTCTATAAACGTAATTCACCACATAAACAGAACCAAAAACAAAAACCACCTGATTATCTCAATTGATGCAGAGAAGGCATTCGACAAAATTCAACAGCCCTTTATGCTAAAAACCCTCAATAAACTCGGTATCGGTGGAACGTATCTCAAAGTAATAAAAGCTATTTATGACAAACCAACAGCCAATATCATACTGAATGGGCAAAAACTGGAAGCATTCCCTTTGAAATCCGGCACTAGACAAGGATGCCCTCTTTCACCACTCCTATTCAATAGTACTGGAAGTTCTAGCCAGAGCAGTCAGGCAAGAAACAGAAATAAAGGGTATTCAAATAGGAAAGGTGGAAGCCAAATTGTCACTATTTGCAGACGACATGATAGTATACCTAGAAGACCCCATCATCTCAGCCCAAAAACTCCTGAAACTGATAAGCAACTTCTGCAAAGTCTCAGGATATAAAATCAATGTGCAAAAATCACAAGCATTCCTATACAACAATAACAGACTTAAAGAGAGCCAAATCAAGAACGAACTGTCATTCACAATTGCTACAAGAAGAATAAATACCTAGGAATACAACTCACAAGGAACGTAAGGGACCTCTTCAAGGAAAACTACAAACCACTGCTCAAGGATATAAGAGAGGATACAAACAGATGGAGAAACATTCCATGTTCATGGTTAGGAAGAATTGATATTGTGAAAATGGCTATACTGCCCAAAGTAATTTACAGAATCAACGCTATCCCCATCAAGCTACCATTGACTTTCTCCACAGAACTGGAAAAAACCACCATGAACTTCATATTGAACCAAAAGAGAGCCCGCATAGCCAAATCAATTCTAAGCAAAAAGAACACAGCGGGGGGTATCACACTACCGGATTTCAAACTATACTACAAGGCTACAGTAATCAAAACAGCATGGTACTGGTACCAAAACAGAGATATAGACCAATGGAACAGAACAGAGGCATCAGAGGCAGCACAACATATCTACAACCATACAATCTTTGATAAACCTGACAAAAACAAGCAATGGGGAAAGGATTCCCTGTTTAATAAATGGTGTTGGGAAAACTGGCTAGCCATGTGCAGAAAGCAGAAACTGGACCCCTTCCTGACACCTTACACTAAAATTAACTCCAGATGGATTAAAGACTTAAACATAAGACCTAACACCATAAAAACCCTAGAAGAAAATCTAGGCAAAACCATTCAGGACATAGGAGTAGGCAAGGACTTCATGAACAAAACACCAAAAGCATTGGCAACAAAAGCCAAAATAGACAAATGGGACCTAATCAAACTCCACAGCTTCTGCACAGCAAAAGAAACAGTCACTAGAGTGAATCGGCAACCAACAGAATGGGAAAAAATTTTTGCAGTCTACCCATCTGACAAAGGGCTGATATCCAGAATTTAAAAAGAACTCAAACAGATTTACAGGAAAAAAACAAACAAGCTCATTCAAAAATGGGCAAAGGATATGAACAGACACTTTTCTAAAGAAGACATACAAGAGGCCAACAAAATGAAAAAATGCTCATCATCACTGGTCATTAGAGAGATGCAAATCAAAACCACATTGAGATACCATCTCACGCCAGTTAGAATGGTGATCATTAAAAAATCTGGAGACAACAGATGCTGGAGAGGATGTGGAGAAATAGGAACACTTTTACACTGTTGATGGGAGTTAAACTAGTTCAACCATTGTGGAAGACAGTGTGGCGATTCCTTAAGGCCTTAGAAATACAAATTCCAATTGACCCAGCAATCCCATTATTGGGTATATATCCAAAGGACTATAAATCGTTCTACTATAAGGACACGTGCACACGAATGTTCATTGCAGCACTGTTTACAATAGCAAAGATCTGGAACCAACCCAAATGCCCATCGATGATAGACTGGACTGGGAAAATGTGGCACGTATACACCATGGAATATTATGCAGCAATCAGAAATGATGAGTTCGTGTCGTTTGTAGGGACATGGATGAATCTGGAGAACATCATTCTCAGCAAACTGACACAAGAACAGAAAATGAAATACCGCATATTCTCACTCATAGGTGGGTGATGAAAAATGAGAACACATGGACACAAGGAAGGGAGTACCAAACACTGGGGTT